TAAAATCTATAATTTTAACAACTAACCTGTAGTCCAAAATGGCCAGRAAAATGTTGAGAAAAAAGCCCGAGACCACTATTCAGAAAAAGGAACAGACAGATCATTACCAGGAGAATCATAGAGTGCAGCCAAATGCCTATGATCAAGAAGGTGGTTACAAGTYGTACGGATATAAGGATGTCCAGATTCCAAGACTAATGCGAGTACCTTTTGTTGAGACCAAGTACAGATTTCCTGGACTAACAGCTGATCAGTGTGTGTGGAGTCTGTTTGAACCACACAATGAGGCTGTTAATATTTGGACGCACCTCATTGGTCTTGTGTTCTTTCTTGTTTATGTTTCCAGGTCAATTAAAACCATCAGTTTCTTTGATGAGCCCCTAACACACCCATTACTTGGTATGATTGTAGGGTCAACAGCGATGTTAGTTACTAGCGTGTGTGCTCACTTGTTTAACGCCATGTCACCCTACGCATATCACATTTGTTATTTCTTTGATTATGCTGGGATCAGTTTTGCTACATTCACATTTTCACAAGCTCTGTTCTTTTATTCTCGACCTCTTGGCACATCGTGGACACTGTTTAACTCTCCAGAAACATATCTCTCTCTTTCTCTTCTAAATTCCYTAGTCTGTACTTTTACTTGCTGCACTGTGCTTATCAAGAGGCCGTGGTTTCACATCTTTGTACGCTCTAKTGCTTATCTCTCTCTGGCAACCTTCACTGTTCTCCCATGCCTTGGACGTCTTGYGCTGTGTGCTCTTCATCCAAGTAGCGACTGTGTAATGGACTCTGCACCTCATTTCAAACTAGTAGCTATCTTCTTCATCTCRGCAGGAATAATCTATGTATTCAGAATTCCTGAGTGCTTGATTCCTAAGATCTTTGACTTCTTAGGCCACAGCCATAATATCTTCCATGCTTTGTCTGCTTTCGGAACTGTTCAATTTTTCATAGCCATTTATGATGAGATGTCCCAAAGAAGAGGAGAGCTGTTGTCCAGACCATTGGCTTGGACAGAGTTGTCTGTTTTGTTTTGTGTGCTGGCTGGAGTACTGAATTTCGGTTTGGTGTTGTGGTTCAGTCAAAAATTGTACTCTAGGCAATCAAAGCGGCATTAACAAACTGAACCCACATGTCAACTAACAGAAATTTCTTCCCAGTCTGTCATAAGCCGACTAGAGTACTGACATACAGCCCTGTAGAACATTGACAATCTCCTAAGATTATAGTTTTTCAGAGCRCATTTGTGTTTAAAGCTTTCACAGTTATTGTTGCATAAAACGCTGTTGTTCAATAGCCYGAGATATGAATGAATGAAACCTTTATTTAAAAATAAATAAAGCCTGGGGAGTCCCTTCAGAACTAATAAAAGGTCTGCTATCAATGCTTCGCTTGTCACACACAAAGGTTTCAGTATGAGGCTACGTGCTAAATGCTCTGTCATTTGTGACAGGCGGTAAGAATAAATTTAATTGAGCATGTAACCTCATACTGAAAACTTTGTGTGTGACAAGTGAARCATATCTCAGAAGTGGGCTATTTTTTGATAGAACAGATTTTGATCTCTCCCCCTTTCTTGTTATCCCTCTTTCTTGTTATCCCTCTAGTTATATGCCCCCTTTGTCATAAGCCCTCTGAAAAACCCTAACAAATTGTATGTGCCACTTAGTGCTCATAACTGGGATTCTTTCAGTTTGGGCATAATTTTTTCCCATTTCAGACCATGTGTCATTATCTTGATTTTCTCGATTTTTGTGGCGATTTTTGCTGCGATTTTTTTGGGATTTTGTCCATAATAAATAATGGTAAAAAATTTACTTGTAAAGTTTTTTTCAGGATACCAAGATTTTCCTAGAYGAATGTATCTTTTGAAGGATGAGACAAATGAATTCATATTTCCGAAAATTGCCACAAAAATCGCAGCAAAAATCGCCGCAACAATCGCCAGATAAACAGGGATAAGATTCTTTGTATGAGTTGTATCCATATTCATGTGTCTTCTCATGTGCAACCTTTAAACAAAGAAATGATACTCTACTAGGAATAACACATGGTATGAAATGGGGAAACATGCTTGAGGTAAAGAGGTATGTAAAACACAGTCCAATTTAAGATACTACTAAATATTAAATTATTTGAAGCACTTCTATAATTTGTAATACACTTAACATATTTTAAGATATTTTTGTAAAACAAGACTTCATGTACATGTATTGAAGTATAAGGCATAATCCTAAATTAATATTAGCTAATAATCACTAATAATTTAAATGAGATGAATAAATCTAAACGTTCACCGCAGGAATAGACCCCATCACAGTTCCCTGCGCCGTCTTGAAAGGTAGCTGTGCTTTTGCATCGAAGCGAGATGAACAGTGANTATCCATATTCATGTGTCTTCTCATGTGCAACCTTTAAACAAAGAAATGATACTCTACTAGGAATAACACATGGTATGAAATGGGGAAACATGCTTGAGGTAAAGAGGTATGTAAAACACAGTCCAATTTAAGATACTACTAAATATTAAATTATTTGAAGCACTTCTATAATTTGTAATACACTTAACATATTTTAAGATATTTTTGTAAAACAAGACTTCATGTACATGTATTGAAGTATAAGGCATAATCCTAAATTAATATTAGCTAATAATCACTAATAATTTAAATGAGATGAATAAATCTAAACGTTCACCGCAGGAATAGACCCCATCACAGTTCCCTGCGCCGTCTTGAAAGGTAGCTGTGCTTTTGCATCGAAGCGAGATGAACAGTGASCTTGCAATGAAAGAGACGTGAATAATTGTCCAAGGTGTTAAAAAAAGGTCTCTWTCAYTGCAAGCTCACCGTTCGTCTTGCTTTGATGCAAAGGCAYGGCTAYCTTTCRAGATGGCGCAGGGAACTGTGAAGGGGACTATTCCAGGATATGAACAGTATAAAGCCATTCATCCTAATCATGTTGTTTGATTACAGCCATTCTCGATCACAACCGTTGCTCTAGCGATTGCTTATGTCAWGATGAAGAAGCTTTTGGTGGACGATCAAAGCGTTTCCATGACATTCTATAGGCACGTGCCCTTATAGCTTTGTATTTACGGACAATGTTATGGAAAYGCCTTGTGATTGACATCTACCAAAACCTTCTTCGTTGTGACMGAAACAATCCCTTGAGGGCGGGTGTGATTGAGAATAGCTGTATTATGGTGCATTTTTATTATAGTGTTTCTTTCTATTTGTTTTGAGTTATTTATCTCATATTATTTCTTATATATTTATTGTTTCAGTTTAATCAATTAATAATTCAAGTGTATAAATAAATTCCCTGAAATTTTATGGAAAACCAAATTCAATAATAATTCAACTAATTAATAATTTATTATGAATTTTTGTAAACTAAGAATACATATTTAATTTGCCATTGTGACCTTGAGTGAACTTGACATGATAAATGTATTGAATTAGCTGAAGAGAAACCTAAAGATGATACATTTACCACATTGGTTCAAACGACATCAGGGATTGGCTGTAGGCTCTCTGTAGGCTGTAGAATGAAAGC